AGATGTGAGAAAAATTCCCCTTTCTCTACTAGTCTTTTAAATTTTTTGGATTTATATCTTTCTTTTCCTCACTTAGATTTTAAATCTGACATGGCAGCACCACACAGTCTAGCCCTATTACTTTTATTTTAATACTCAATATTGTACCAGTAAAAGTATTTTTAAACTTACAATACATGGAAAAGGAAAGTTCTTTTCCAGTTAAAAAAAAAATGAGAGATTCTTGCTATCTACTCTAGAACTTTAGAACTTTCATATCATGAAAGATGTGGGTAGCACTGCATACTCACTAGAGCCTGTGGAAGAAATACTTCCCCTCCTTTATTGATTTGTTGCTATATTTAAGTGGCAGTGTATGTTCTTCAGAGAGAAGGTTTGACACTGCAGCTTTGGGATTTCTCAGGTAATCGCTTTTGAATTTTGGAAACACAGCTCCTGCCCCTACACTCTGTTTCTTAAACAATATATTTATCTTTTTAATTAGGTTGCAATATTCCATTTTGTGAAAGGAAGCAATGAAGCTATTCTGTTTATCTAAAACAAATTTGTCTTATGGACAGTGCTTTCCTCCTTCTTGTTTCCAATTGTGTGAAATCTCTTTAGATACTCTACCTTTGTTCCATGTTAAATTAAATGTAAAACTGATTTTTTACTCTCTACTTTAGGCAACAACTATAGAGTTAAAAGTGAGGGAAAGGAAATTCATTCTAAAACATGAAACAAGAAACAAGTGGAATCTTGGTTTGCACCTACAACTGCATGTTTTGAATCTCAGAAAATAAAGTAAAAGCTGTAAGTTTCATCTTAACTGTAAAGAAATCATTATTTGCAACTGCTGATAATATAATATTTACATAACATTTGCTATGCTTGGATTTTCTCCTGGTGAGGCTGAAGTAAGTAGCAAATATTAACTTGGACAGCACTCCAAATCTTGGTTGCATCTGCAGTTCTGTTTTGTTGAGGTGATGATCTCGTACAATTGCTTTCAAAGTTTTGTATGTAGTCTAGCTACAAAGCAGTAAACTGCTTATATGAAGTAGTAACTTATCTGTTACTATTTTATATATGAGTACTCATTGCAAACCAGAACATTTGTGAAGCACTTTCTAGGGATTATGGCATTTTTCGTCTACAAATTCTGATACTGATTAGAAGTGAATGGTCTAAATTTTATTGTCATGTACTAATTGACCAAAGGGCATATTCTTTTCCCAGCACCAAACTTGCCGTTTTCTTTCTAGATTGACTGATATCTAAGTTCTTAGAGATCATTTCTCTTATCCCTTTTTCTGAACTGTCTTGGGCATCCAATTTAAATGTTGGATTTGTGTATTAGAACAAACTTTCATAACTGTAATACTATTTTTTAATGGCAGGCAATTTTTTATATCTTTGTATCACTTGGAACCTGGAACTTGCACTTCATTTTATAAAATAGAAGTAATTTTATCTTTAAAAAATGGGCATTTTTAGCCAACTTTAGATTTCAGTTTTCTGCTCAAATCCCCCTGCGTATTGACAAGAGCATGAAATACATCAAGCATTCAGATGGAAGTATGGCACTGACATCAGCATGGGGCAACAAAAGGTAAATTGGCATCACTGTGGATGCCAGTATACAAGTAAAAGAGGATATCTAAAGAGTGAGGCTGGATGCTTTGAACAGAGCTCTGGGAGTTAGATTCATTACTGTCTGGAATTTCAGAAGAAAATGTTTCCATGAAAGTTGTCACTACAGAACTTAAGAGAAAAATGTGCTTATTTCCATGGACAATATACTTAATTCCACAAGAGGATATCAGGTTAGATTATTAAATGTTTAAACTAGGTAGTACTCAGAATTGTGGCTTTTGGGTTTTTTGTTTGTTTGTTTCAGAAAATTGGTAATTATTACCTTAGCTCTACAGTTTCTCAACAAAAGTGTCTGCTTGTCACAATCATCTATATTCCTAGTCTTCAAGTAAGCCATGAGGCTTACTATATAGTTTATTCCATGAAAGGCAATAACACAGTACTCAAATGTTATTTTGAATAAAAAAACACTTTCAGTGTTACGTTTGTTTTCCTGGATAGCTCAGCGATAAATGCATTTGTCTGCTCATTTGTTGCTTTGAAATCTTGTATAGAAGTATCAGAGGATGGATGGAGCCCTGGGAATTTAGCTGTTCCTCTAGAAGTAATGGTAACTTCTGTGGTAGTATTCTTGCTGTCAGTATCAGCAGTTGTGATCATGCTGTTTTGCTATTGAAATTCATGTTCATGACTCCTCTTTCCTGTCCAAGTACATAGTAGTGTCTTTTTCAGAAACCATGATGTTTGAGTTTTCACTCAATGGAATCTTGGAATCGATGCTCCATCTGTGTTTTGAGGAGCTACTTCATTTTGCCAGGAAGTTGTCTCAATGACATTGTAGCAAGGAAACACTGAGTGGCAGATGAGTGGTTTTAGTGTTTAAGACAGGAACGATGTTAACCAAAAGAAGCATGGAAGCAGCCATGTGAAGATACAAATCCACTTCTCCTGGAGAAGGGGAAAGATCATCCAGTAGTAAGTCTTGTAATTATTTGAATGGTGTTATTGAAATAATTCTCTTTGCCCCAGTGATAAAGTTTCTGTACTTCAATCCAGTATATATCTAATTTGCACTGTTATTGGAATGAATTTTTTCAGTATTCGTGCTAAGTCCTAGATTATCTGAACAATTGGAAGAATAGCAGAGGAGTGTTGATCTAAATTGAAGTAGGTTAAAATCCAAGGACACCAAGGGGACAAATAAAATGGACAAGAATAAGAGAAACATTTAGTTTTGAGAAGACCTTGAAAGTCATCAAGGTCATTAACCTAGCATTTCCAAGTCTGCCATTAAAGGTGGAGTGTAAAGGGAGAGAGGGATAATGGTCTTAATTTCTTCTGATGTGTCAGTGTATAATAGGATAATGGTTGTGTAAGTACGGTGCATAAAACCACAAAAATTGCTATGTCAGTGGAGGAGAACTCAAACCTGAGATCTAGTCAAATGCTGTCCTGATCTGTTCTGGGATTTTTTTTCCACATCTCTAAATTCAGTTCTACCATTATGACCATGTAAATCTACAAGGTAATAATAGTTATCTGGTGAGCCATTAGGCAGCCATATGTATCCAACTTATTTATAGCCTGCAGGTTTGTATTTTTTTTTAAATCAACTTGAAATACCTTAGCTTTCTGTATGTGTATAGCCTGTGTAAGTATATAATCTTAATTTCTTTCCTTTGTTCACCTTCTAGTGAACATGTGCAGGTTGCAGGTTGTCATAATTGGATTGTGCACCTTTTGGAGAGGCTTTGTGGAATGTAACACCTGGCCTCTGTGTCACATGTATACTTAAATAAATATTATTTAAATACTGTTAAATTTAATAAAAACTTTATAAAAATTTAAATTCTTTACTTTATTTGACTTATTTTTTCTGTAATCTATAAATTTAATAAATCTATATATTAGTCAGTTTCTGTTGCTATCATTTTTCTAGTTTTAACATTCAATCTCAGTGAGTACTCAGGGTGAACAGTCCCGTGTGTAAAATACCAAAGATCAAGGCTTAGCTTACTGCTGTCACACAGATGTTGCGCTGGGCAGACAAGCCCAAAATACATAATTATGGCACAAAGCCTGGAAGCACAGCTATGGATAAGGCATATTTGTAAGTTCTTTATACAGCACTGCATTACTCTAGTCACTTTGTTCCTGATTCTTCAGCTGCTTGGTTTAGAGGTAACTTTATACCATGCTGCATATACGTACTGTCTGTTTAACTCTGATCCAACCATTTAGTTGTTTTGTGCTTCAGTGTTTCCTTTTGAAAGTGAGAGTAAGACTTCCTTATTTTAAATTATTGCTTCTGAAGTGTTACAGTTGGAAGGAGAAGGGTCATTTATGCATGGAGAGAATAAGTACTTTTAATGTAATTATGATATGATACTGGTGTTAAATTCACATACAAAAAATCTGACAGAAGCGTGAGACTTTAGACATTGTGAAATCTTTGAACTACCTATGCTGTGCTATAGTAGGTAAGTTCATGGAAGGAAAAAATGTTAATTATTCATAATGTTTTGCTGTACCATAAAACTCGATTTATTGAGACTATAATTTGTTCAAGTTGCATGTAGTAGAAAAATATATCAGGAGTAATTAGTAGTATTCAAGATGTGATGAGGTAGATATATCCACAGAGGACAATTGAAAACAGTAGTGGTGTGGTATTGATTGCCTTTCAGAGGAAAAAAAATCTTGTCTCTTTTCTAAATGTTAACAATTCAGAGAGAAAAATTCCCACTTGGGAAGAATGCTTTCCAGGTTGCTTCATTGCCAGGTGTTTGACATTGAGTAGAGCCTTAGATGAATGAAGCTTATGGCAGCTTTTGGAAATGACCGACTCCGGGGAATCTTGGCTTCCTGCTGTGAAAGTTTCCATTTTCAAAGCACATCAGTTTCAGTGGGAATGTTCCACTGGTCCCATATGCTACTTCTGACAGAGGGGGAAGTTTTTAACCTGAATATGAGACAGCTACTGAAGAAGTTCCCTTGCTGCTAACAAAATGAATTTCAATACGTTGCCAGTGAACAAGCGGCATGTTCCCAACTGCTGATGGAATTTAACCCCATCAATTTTTAATGGAAATTTTGCTATTAATTTCCTTTTTTCCCTGTTATCTTTTAACTCCACTATTTGCACCTGGTAGGACTTTTGGGTTCTGAAGTTGAATCACCCAAACAATATGCTAGTTTGATTTGAAATTCTTGCTATATTTTCCTCCCCTCCCTCATACACTCTCTCCTTGACCTAGCAGCAGGAAGCCTTTGTCTGAGGTGTTCATCTGGAACAACTTTTCCACACTTGTTTTCATGTTCTGTTAGATTACAGGGCAGCAGGCCTACCTTTGAAGCTCCCTTCTCTTTTGTTTCTTTGCAGTGCACTCCAGTAATTAACTTTGTCCTTCTTTTATTTGTTCCAGTCAATCGCAGTCCACTCTGCTGAGCATCTTCTCCCAGGAGTACCAGGTTAGAAGTTTTCTCCTTTGTGAGGGTTGACAGGTGCCTAATTGAATGATGAATGTCCCTTTATTTCTTTGTAATTGAACTGCCAGCTTTCTGATTGGTTTGGAGGATGTTCCTTTTTCCACATCAAGCACTGCCTGAGTCTCAGTGGATGGCTGCCAAACCTACCCATCCATCTGTCTAATAACATCTAGCCTTTGCTTATTTGGTGGACCTGTAATAAATTATGCTAAACCATTATTATTCTGACAATAATAATTTCCCTGTGTTGCGTGGTTCCATGTGCTAAATGTTTGCTGACTTGCACTGTCAGTGCTGCTTTCCATTGCTGACAGAGATGATGATAAATGACCATTGCCGGAGTGGCAGAAGGCAAGAGAGGCAGAAAATGGAGTCATTTATCATGAGATGACAGGTGTCAGTCAAGTGGCAAGTCTCTATGGAATTACTTTTTGTAGTTTTTCAAATAAGTTGTTTTTAAGCAATGTTCTTCCTGGTTAAAAATGCCAATTGAATTGTAAAACTAGAGTGTACCAGACTTAGATGGAATTGAATTGAGGGAAAATTAATACAAAGGTTGAAAGAGAGAACAAGTTTTTCTTTGCCCTCAGCAGCCTTCAGTAAACTTATTTAGATTCAATTATTGTGACCTTACTGCCTTTTACATATGGTACATTGCAGTACAGTCTGAAGACGTTCAATTCAGTAGGTAGATTGAATGTCATTTCTGTATGGAATCTAAAAGCATGGTTCACATCTATCAAAGTGTAGCCAAGGATGCGTGTTTGTGTAGTCATGATTTCTGTGTTTTGATCTGACACCTTTTTAAAAGTCCTGTTTTTTTCATTTTTCTAGAAACAAATCAAAAGAACACATGCCAAGCATCACACTGCTGAAGCTATCGAAACTTACTACCAAAGGTATGACCTCCCCACCCCAGTTAAGATTCTTATCATAGCTACTGGGTTTTACAGCAGTAAAAAAAAAAAAAAAAAAAAAAGTGAGTAAATTAGCTTACGAAACTAACTGTATATAACAATAAATTAAGAATTTGGGAATACAGAATCGTTCACATAAAAATGTTTTTCACTGGAAATACAGAAATTTTTCATTATTTGGTCATTCTCATTAAGAAAGGGTTTACTTCCCTGGCTCTAAGTCAGGATAAGCAAATATTTTTTCCAGTGTATGTGATCGCATTTATTATGTATTGCCTATAGTTTGTAATTTTTAGGATTTCTGTGTCAACACTGATTTTGATGACTTCTTTACAGCAAGAGAGCTTGTTCTGTTACAGTGCTTGTTTAAAACAACATTCGTGTTACATTACAAAAAGTTACATATTCATGTATTGCCAGTTAAAACACTAATTTTTAGATCACTTCTGTTTTATCAACAGAAGTGTCAGAAATAGTTTTTAAGAGAGGATGAAAACCTTTATGTCATTTTACAATTGTTTGCATCTTGAGCTAATAAACTGTGCTCGCTACACCTTGTAGTTATTCTCTTAGTTCCATAGGCTTTACTAAAAATATTCCAGTGACATAATTGGGGCATAGTGATAACAGGTAAAGATATGCAATTAAAATATTACTTTGTAGACTGACATATCTGAAGAGCATGCATGGCAAATGAATTCATACTTGTGATGTGTGATATTCGTGCTTAATACTAATCTGTATGAATCAAGAAAATAAACAAAGAGCCTTCATTTGTAAACAATTAAATGTGCTTCTGCCAAAGTCATGTGCTTAAAACTTAACCACAGCCTGATTATAACAGACACTGGTTTAGAATATCTAGTGTAAAGTGTACTAGTTTGGGTGTTTGATTTTGGTTTTTTAGTAGTTGTATTGTTTTGTAAAATTTGTACTGGATCACATCACACTTTTCCTAGGGTTGATATTTGTTTAGGAAGAATATTGTCTTAAAATCTTGTTATGCTAGTAACATGTATATACAGTACTACTTTTAATTATTTTTCACCAGCACAGTTTTAGTGAAGTGGCTTGTGGTAATTGTAACTGCTGCATAAGTAACCCTTTTCTTAGAGTATCTGTAAATCACTAGTTCCAGCCTGAAACTTCAACCTAAAACATGGGACAAGATTTCGCTTTATGCGAAGCAGCAGTTGCAGTGGTGTCAGTAGGGTTATAGGTATGATTAAGATTGTCTCACATCAGGTAGGAGGATTTGGTCTCCTGTCTTCTTCTGTAGTCTGAAGTATGATAGCAGTACATAACTAATGCATTATGTATGAAGCTGTGTGGTGGTGGTAGGGAAAATCATTCTTTATGCTATTTCTGAGTATGTCATTTTGCAAGTGTATTAACATGGCTGAGTAAAATGCACAAGTTTTAAAATCAGAGCTGTTCTGGTCAATAGCTAAAAAACTCATTTCAGTTCTGTTTTAATAGATTTACCATGTAGTATGTTTAGGCAGCTACAGAAGCAGACAACTTGAGATAGAAGCCACTTTGAAACACTTCAGGCGTAAATATGACAAACGTCTTCTCCTCTGCTCTTCTGTAGCATCCACTTTACTGCTGTAAACCCCAGACTGAATGCTATGCTCCTTAGTATTTCTGCCGACATACAAGCAGATAATTGTGCTGTCATTGCTTTCTTAGGTCAGAATCTACCAGGTTTTGAAGGTAGGCATTTCCAGTGGTCCCTGTTAGGAGCAAGTAAAATAGCTGAGTAGAGTAGTTTCTTCTACTTGGCTGAGACTTACTAGTCTGACACTTAGGCAAGCACGAAGTGCAAGAAGGATCAGCAAGTTTTCAGAACTTTATTGCCTTCAGCATGTGAGACCTCTTAGTCTATAATGGAGTTGCCAGAAGCATTAGAAATATATGACAGAAATGTACTTCATTCTCACTATTGCTGTTTGATCATCTACATGCATGTTTGAGAACCTCATTCTCAAGTACATTTTCCTGGCTTTGTGTTTCGTGTATGATATCTCATTTTCTTCTGTTATAAATTTACAATGTTTAAACATGTTTTGTGTATGTGTGTTTTTGTTTTTTTTTTAATGTGGAACTGAAATAATTTACAGCAAAAAGATTTTTTCATTTCCTTAATTCATTAAGCTTCAGAATAACTTGGAAGCAAAAAGCCCTCTATCTAATCTTATTTGAAGGGGTTTTATAAAGGTGTACCACCCATTTCACAGAAAGGTAAAATGACAAAGAATTTTAATGTCTGTAACTAATGAGCAGAAGAGTGTCTTCTGATGGATAGATAATGATAGAGCTGAAAAGGCTGTGGCCTTCTAATGATGTCAGTAATGATGTGCTATGTGAATACAGATAGGATAAACGAGCAGGTTCAAATGTTGGTAACTATTGTTCTTTTCCACATGGCTGCAAAGCAGAAAGTGGCTTCCAATATCATAGCTCCTTCCCATCAGCTTCAGAACACAGGTTTCAAGTTTTATCAAAATGTAAATATCAAGCAGTGAAAGTAACAGAAGTGAGCAAAGCAATATTGTATGAATTGATGGTCAGAAACATCATTCTGTAATACCCTCAACTAGAAACATTAAGCCTTTGCCACTGATAGGGTAATGACTTTCTATCAACATTTATTGAATCCTAAATATTTCTTGTTTTCTTTGTAGAATATTAATTGTTAGACTGATTTCACTAAAGTAAGCCTTTAGTATTTAAATTACTGCCCAGTTGATAAAATCTGGAATAAATTTGAGAATTTATGGTTTTGTGCATACAGTGAATTGGTTTAACTATAGACTCCATCATCATAGTTGAAGGTCATGTGGAACCAAAAATATTTATTGTGAATAATAGATGTTTATTTGTCTGTGATGCATCTTTAAGTAGTACAGATATAATTTATTTGTGTGTCTTAAGCCACATTTTTTTTTAATTTCTTGATATATTGGATTTTTTACCAGTGTCTTCATTGAGATGGATATATTTTGCAGATGAATAGAAAAGGAGACAACCCTGGAGAGTTAGTGGTTGCTTAAAATACTTACTTTTTAAAAGATTACCCATTAAATACTCTGTAATGGGGCATTTTCCCCCAAATGAAAAAGATTCACGAGGGATACTGACATGTATAAACTGGTCTTTTCCTGCCATTGCAAAATTACCTGGCTTTGTCTTGTCTAGGTACCTGAATGGGGTGATGAAAAATGCAGCTGCCCCAGTATTACTGGACCTGGCCAATGAGGTAATCATCTTTCTTTTTTCTTTAATCTTCCAGTGTAAAACCTGAGGGGCATATCTATAGTGACTTTAGTGAGAAATGTAATTAACCTAAAAAAAATGGTTTCAAGGCACATTAGACATTTAAAATGGTTCCCCAGTCTGTTAGTACTTAAAATAATTAGACAAAAAGCCACATTTATTAATAAATCAGTTCATGTAATTAGTCTTTTAACTTCAAGGCAAATGTGTAGGATACTCTGAATTTGTATTTTGCTGAAAATTTCCAACAGACTGCAGGTCTTTATTGCATAAACTTTCTAAAAATTCTTACATTGATTAAATGGAGTTGTATCAGTTTGAATCCTTGCCTTTAATAACAAAACCCATCTAAGTTATTACTATTTCTTAGTAATAGGAAGGCTTAAAACAGATAATTTTCCTGGCTCCATTTATTTCTGTTCATACGGATTAGAAAATGGCTAATGAAAACTGCTTAAGGTAAAGCACTTAAGGAGAATAAATTCCTCAGTGTTTGAAAAGTTCTGTACGGATGCCATTAAAGTCTTGACAAATTTATTGATGCTGTTTATTAACTAGAATATGAATTTACCTTGTTATACAAGGTGTTATTTGTATTAAAAACTTCTATCTTAGCATTACATTAAAGAAGAGGTAAAAAGTTAGAACAAGTGGCAAGTAGTTTCCTAGAAAAAAAATAAATTGATGAAATACCTGTTTTTTAAACTCTAAAATATTTATTTACTGTAATAGTAACAGAGCTGATACTCCCTGGAACTGCTTATGCAATCCTCAAAGGGATAGAATGAAATATATGCTGTTTTGTGTTGCCTTTTAATAGAAAATGGAAGCAGAAAATGAGTGTTTGCATTAAAAATGATATGGCACCGTGAACATTAAGTGTAGCAATAGCAGCAAGTTCTACATGTTACATTAGTAAAAAAGAATGTTTTTTCTCTCATGTACGTTGCTGCAGCCAGCAAATGAGTGATTACCTATCAATTACTGGAAGGTTTTAATGGTCTGTGAAGTGTCTGTGTAACCTGATCATACAGTTAGCATAAAATCAAGAATTTATTTCATATTAATGGTAATGTGTAGATTCTTACCATCTCTGGAAAAGACAAATCTTGAAGTACTGAGAATAGAATGTGCTTTACATAAATAAGTACAATCTTACTAAGAATTTAGGTAAACATCCCAATGGATGATATATTGTACCCATATTATATGGGAACTGTCATAAAAATATTTCAAGCACAGAGTAATATATCTGTTACTGCTTCTTTGTATATTTTTCGCATTGATTTAGAGATGATGCATATAATTTCTGACTCCAGTGAGCATATCTTTGTTTATATTTCACTAATGCATTTTTGCAATTCAGATCAAAGATATCTGCAGTTCAGAAATAAATAAAAATTAAATCTAAGGGAAAGGGGAGATACACAAAAAACTTATTTGTTTCCGGTTTTGTAGTAGCAGGTATATCGGAAAGGCAATGCATTTTGTGACTGCCACCCAATGCATTAGGGAAACGTGGCAATAACCAGCACCAGATTACTGCTTCCAAACAATCAAGCTGCCATTTTTATGTGATAGTTAATATTTAAATGACATACTCTTGCATCTGCTGACAATTGATGTAATGGTAATACTTTATGAGTCAATATATATTTAATCAGTGGAAACTGTAAAAATTGATGAGAAATATATAACATAGCTGTATTACAGTATGTAGCAGCTCTGTTAAGTAGGAAAAGCTCCATGTTGTTATCTTTTGGGGATGTTTTTTGAAGGTTTATAAAAGTACTTCTAATTCTTTTTTTAAAATGAAATTGTCAGCTGTTCATATTGTATATGTAGTACAAAAAGACTAAAATAAATCACATTTTTGTTCGAAACAATAAAATTAGTCACTGTTCTCTTCATACAAATATTTTCAAGTGAGATTTGAAGCACTATGAATTTTACTTACATGCTAAATTCTGACATGAAGCATGATGGCCCTATTTCAAAGAAAGATGGACACATGATTAATATGAAAATTAGGGCGATGCAAGTACCTGAACTAATAAGGTAGTCCTTATTCAGGCTGGACTACCTTCAGTAATTTCACCATTTTTCATGTGTCAGCTCTGATGTGGGTTACTGGAAATAAGCAGCTCCATGGAAAGCATTTCTCTCTACTTGGGGAATTTAAGGCCATCCAAGTACATACATATTTGGAAAAATATGTATGCACAAATGGAGTTACCTTTTTTGTATAGTTACTAAATCAGGATAAAATTTTTGCACTAACAGTGAACTTGAAAAGATGTCAAGAAAAATTCATTGTGTCAATTTGTGATCAAAGTTTTCTGTCTCATAGTTAAAATTCTGATTCAGTAAAGCTGTATTTTAATGGTATCTAAAAAGCTATTGTAATTTTAGGAGCAACTAGGTTATACATTATTCGTACATATAAAAAAAGTTGAAATTAGGGAATAGCTTTGTTTAAAATCATAATATAAACTCTGAAGTAATTTTGACCAAGCCAAACACATCTGCTAGAGATATTGACACTAAGGATATATGGTATCACTTGATGGGTACCACATGAATGAAGATTCATACATAGAAAAAGATCACCACTTCTTTTCCTTGATGGATAACCTTATAAAAGGGATTTCAGATTTCATGGCCATCTTTTACAAAGGGTGGTTCAGATGCAAAATGTACATACATAATAACCAGGATTTTATGTTGTCTACTTTATTTGGTTTTTCACTAGTACTGTGGATCACTACCACACATTTGGTGCAAATAGTTGAGTTCAATAATTGGAAAAAGATCCTCTTTCCTTTATTTTGCTTGTTAATTTTAATCTACAAATACAGTACAGTTCTGACAAGTGTGCATCTAAATGCATTTAGCACCCAAAATTTTGGTTTTGTTTTTGTTGCGCTAAGGTGGATTTTGCCCCATCCTTGATGGCTCGTATTGTGTTGGAAAGATTTCTGCAAGAAAAAGAACAAGCCATCCGTAAGTATTTTAGCTGGTTTGTTGGTTTTTTTTTTTGTATTATTTTAAAATTACTTTTTGTTTCCACTTTTCTTCTGACTATGATAGAAAAATAATCACCACAACACTGGAAGTGAGATAACAAGGGTAACATTTCAACTTTGGTATCTTCAACAGTTAATGACACTTAAACTATGTGTAAGAAGAGCAGCCACAATTTAATACTACTTAAACAAATATTTTTCCTCTTAGATTTTCAGAATATCTGTTCCTCCAGTAAAATAAAGGGTATGGGGCTCATACCAAATTTATATCTTTAAAATCCTGTATTTTAGAATTCAGTAATTACTGACAGTAATTCCTAAAATAAACCTAAGCCACTTTTAATTTTGCAACGTTCCAGAAATGTTTCTAGTATATACAGAAGTGCATTTAACTGATCTCAGTACAAGAAAATAAAAAAATGGAATGAAAGAGAAGAAAAGAATAGAGCTACAGGAGGAGGTTCAAGCCTAAATTAATTTGCCACTGAAAAAATACATTTTGTTATTTTCTCTGTGTCAACTGCATGATTAAAACCGGCTGTTAAGTGAGCTCTGGGGATGTGCTCGTAAAAGATTTATGAGTAATATTCAATGTGATATTCAAAGTGAGTCATGAATATCAGGGTAATTGCTCTCAGTGCTGGCTCTTTTACTAGGCAGGAGTTTGTCAACTGCCCCATAAATATTTGCCTAGTCTCATGTAAAAAAGACAATTTCATCTTCTGCATTTTTATTACCTAGTGTAATGTTTACCTTTGGAGCTTGACTATGGCAGAATAGGTAAAAAGCTTCAGAATATGCTTTATGCGTATAATCTTCTCTTTTTGAAAGCAAAAGATAATACCTACTAAAATATCATGCAGTAGCATATGGTGGATTTTGTCAGGGATTTTTCCTTTGGTTTTCTTTCAGTCTTCAGAGTTATCAGTGACTGGTGGCCCAGTTACCTTCTGAAGGTTTCATTTGAATGAATTAAGTACTTCCCCTAAAAATTCAATATCATTTCAATAGATGTAGCCTCTAAAGTAACCTGCAGTGATGCTTCATGAGCAAATCACATGATGTCAGAATGGTATGGTTTCGATTTAATCAAGAAAGAGATTAAAGTGGATGTGTGTTATTTTCAACTTCGCCGCAGCACCACCATTTGTCAAAGTCAACCTTCTGATTGCTTTGGACCTACTGCTATCCAGGTCCTGTCAAAATAGTAGTCTGCACAATCTGAAGCAGGTAGGCTGACCAATGGAGAGCAGTACAAGCACAATAAAGCAAAATTAATCATAAAATGTTCTGACTATTAATTTATCTTTATAATGATGACATATCTTAAGTAATTTTCTTTTTGTTTTGCATCATCTTACACTGCACAGTGAAACAAAATATAATTTTTGTACTTTACACCAGATTTGACACAACTGTGTTGCTAGAATTAGGTGTCTTGAGTGAGTGCGCCAGGAAGGAGCACAAGCATATTTAGAATCCTGTTTAGAAAGAGGCATTCTAAGAATGTGACTGCTGGGATAGGATACAAATTGTTTATATAGTGCTGTGTTCTTGAATTACACTGTAATTAGGTATAATGAAACAAATCCTTATTTTGGAGCATTTTTAGATTTTTAACTCAGTGACAGTTTTGTTTTGATCTCTTTTGAGGGTTTTTTCCAAAAGTGAATTTGCAACACTTGATTAGGGTGTAGCTTTTACTGTATAAAACACACTAAAATCACTATTTGTTTTATGGTTGTCACTGTTTGTTATATGACTTGTAATCTAAATGTGGAATGATGAAAAATCTTTTATGGTGATCAAAACTGTGAAGAATCAGTTTTGGCATTGGCTTTTAGTTGTACTACATAGAAATATTTTGTCCTTCATAGTACATTTTATATTTTAATTTTCATTAAAAGATACATGCCTTGTGTTGTACATTATATGTGTGGGTGTGGCAGGGGAATTGAAGTGTTGCTACAGTACTGTGGAGTTGCTAAACTCATTTTACAGAATGAGCTGTGAGATATTCAGGCTTCTATTCTGACACTTTCTTCCCCTCACAGCAGTGACCTGGCTGGCCTTCGGCAATGAGATTCAATGCACATGGCTCCGCAGTCAAATCATCAAATTTCCCTGTGTGTATATTAGAGTTTTGTAATGTGTTTCCATTATGAAACAATGCGGGGATAATTGTCTTTGGTAGCAATTAGCTAACAGGTTTGTTCAGTGCTATTGGCAGAGGCATCCATCATCCCCTCCCTGACCACACTTTTTTGTCTACTGTGGACTATGGAGATCAATAGAATCCTGTATAGTGGAAATCACCCCAGCTTTAATGAGCTGCAAGTCTCAGTCAGTCTTGGGTTTGTATTTTTAATTTTTCCCCTTTAAAACTGAAAAAAGCTTTTCCACAGGGAGAGGAAAGTACTGTAGCTGTACTATTACTTTCACTAATCAATTCATAGTTCTAAATTGTTTTGCTTCTACAAAAATGTATGGATGAGAGCGGATGAAGAGAAACACACAGCTTATTGCTTCAGCAATGCTTCATTCTAGTAAATCAGGTCTTTACTAAAGCAGAGTAGTTCAATATTACAAAAATTAATTTTGACTCTCTTGTATTAAGAATTTAAACCATAGAATTACACAGTGCAAAGAATTAAAAGTATTTTAAAAATATGTACAACCACTTTACAGTAATCCATTTAGAATACAAAGAATGTGTGTTTTGGCTTCCCTTTTAAACTCAGTATGTTGTATCAGGTCAAAGTTGTTTATAGTATGTGTCTCTTAAAAGTGAAAGTTTTTGGGAAGGAGTTTTTGTTTCTAAATAATGAGTAGCTAGAAGAGTAAATCTGTGTTCTAAGGAATGTGGAAGCAGAATTATCACTGAGCAGGAACATGTTAATTTCTATTTGCAAAAGGAAAAAAAGGTACTTTTGTAGAAAGATAACAATACTAATGATAGAGAAGTTTTCTACCATGCGACCTGTACTGCTAGGAAAGGAGCTTGTCACTAGAAAATTTAGAGTAAATACCAGTATAATACCTTCAGTATTTCTTTTAATCTAAATGTGGAAAGTGGACCTAAATTCTGCCCAGGTAGTTTCAGTAGTGTGGGAATTCAGTACAGTGGAAAGTTTTACACATTGTAGCCTAGTCTTCTTCCATTCCAGAAAACACAGTTCTTGCCTTTTATTTTTCATTTTCCAGTAACTTTGATCTTGAGGTAGAGGTTACTGTAATATCACACCAAATTCCCTATTTAAATGGTGTATTGTTGATGCAATCAAAAAAATCTTGAGTTCTCTTAGTTTTCTTTTGCATAAAGTAATACAGCTTAGAATTGACCTCTATAATGCTTATTTTAAGTATATCAAAAGACAATTTTGCTATAAGAGCCACAACTCCATATTTTGTAAGTGAAAAGTTCACAGTTTCTGTGAATAAAATACATCCTTTTAGTGTTTTCACTATTTGGGTGTGAGCAAGAGAGCCTTATGTGCCAGTTTTCAGTTTGTGACCACCTTCAATTTCTTTTGGGATGCTGTACAATATGAAGAATGTGCTCTATATATCCTTTGACTTAATCAAGTTCAAAACATGTTATTTAACCAAGCACTATAATAATTCTTTTTCCTATTACCTTACTAGAGGTCTCAGATTATTCTATCAATTTATGGAAGATTAACTCCAAACAAAACTCTGGGGCCAAGGAGAGGTGGTGCCTTACATAAGCGTAATGAAACCTTGTAAATGTAACATCACACATTATAGTTATCTCTGTATCCTAAAAAGAAAAATAAAGTCAATGATGTTGTTAAAATAGATAAATTCTGTACTTAGAATCCTTTTAAGACATTGAATTCCAGGTGTTGAATTCTGTGGTGCAAAACAGTATTCTAGTCATGGTCTAATAAATGCTAAGTACTGGAGATTATGGCTTCCCTCAATCTATTCGCTCTGCTCCTTTTTGTAAAGCTCAAGTTGCTGTTGTCCATCTTCTCTGCCACGACACAGTGCTGGCTCATATTCAGTTTGCTGCCCTACCAGGGCCTCCAAGTTCTTCTCTGCAAAGCTGCTCCCCAGCCAATCTATCACAGCTTGTATTGTTGCTGGGATTCCTCCTTCTCAGGTATAGAACTGCACATTGATGCTTTCTAAATTTCATGAGCTTCCTGCTGGCCCATCCCTTAGCCTGTCTAGGTCCATTTAAATGCCAACCTTGCCTCCTGATTGGTTGTCTTTTGCATACTCAAGGTCATTGTTGAAAATGGTAAACAGGAATGGCAATTGATGATAGCAGCTACATAAAGAGGAAGAAGGACAGAATCTTACACCTTTCTTTAATCTTACCTTTTCTGTCCTCTTTTTATTTACACTTAGATAATAATGTAAAATGCAATCTCAAGCTGCTTCTCTATGACTACCTGCTGTGGATTATTAGCATGTATATAAGGTCAATATCCTTCCATCTTCCTCTGCTTTTCCTAGTTCTTGAATAAACAGCTTGAAAAGGTAAATGAGTATCATCAGGCTTTCTACACTCAGCTCTTGGTGAAATCTTAAAAAGAAACAAGATGCCTTTTATATGCTGAAGCTTAAAATGTATTGAGCAGTTTTGCAGAGCAGTGCTGGTATCTGTTGAAATACATCTACAGTCACTAGCACAGTGGAGACAGACAGAAGGAAAGAAGTGGACAGTAGTTCTGAAACAAGAATTCTGCAGCATTTCAAACTGCACAGCAGAGATATAATTACCACTGAATTTTAGAAACTATTTTTAGTAAAAGGTGAGTAAAAGCTGTGACTTCAAAATTGTCAAGTGTATCTATGCAGCATTCATAACATAATCTATCTATCCTGAACACTGCCTAAATATGAGTTCCTTGTATGTTGACAATGCTTAACATAAATAAAATTATTTTCAAAGTTGTATCACCTCTCCCAAAAATACATACACAGCTTTTAAAATTTATTTTCAACTCTGAAGAAACTCTTTTGCAATAATCTCAAATTGCTTCAATCTCCAGGAATTAAAATACACATTTGATTAAGTCTTATTTCACATTTTTCCTTATTACACATTGTTTTCTACCTGAAATGTATACAGCGTAGGAATGCATTTCATCTTCCAGAAATGTATTAACATTGACTACTTATCAGAGTGAACTAATGCAGAATCCATGGACGCAAAGATTTGGTTTCAGGCGAGTAACCTGGATTTATGTTAAAATACAGCATGTTTAAGAGTATTTGCTAAGTGCCTAAAAAATATAGACATTCAAGAAGGAAAACCACTGGTCTTTTAGGCTCTGAAAACGCTGATTACAATATATTGCTGATTATAAAAGCAATCTTGAATATAACATTATCTTCACTTTTATATCTATCAAATGTGCAAAAATTTAAGTTGCAGTAGGTTGCTTTCTAGTAAAAATTATGAGTGGAGTGCACAGTAGGTCTTGGCAATGTTTTGTTGTACTTGTTTGCATGTGTTTTTCCACATGGATGAATTTTGTTCATATCAACTAGTATCTGAAAGCAAGAGATTTTTGCTTAAGAATCTTTTGCTTGGTGGCTTCTGATTGTGGTCTGTTAAGTTTGCATTCTGTTGACTGACTGCTCCAAAAAATAAAATTGCATGAATTACAGGTTATTTGCATTTGGACTCATATTATTAACACACAGACTTGAGAAAGTCTCATTTTTACCACTGACAATGCTACTATTTCTAAACAAGCATTTGAAATTGCTCTTAATTTTTCGCTTTTTCCATATTCCTGTCATTGATTTCATACTGATAAGGCAGAATATTTTTACAAAGGTATGGAGAAGAAGTATACCAGATGTTTAAGCTGTCTTCTCACAAGTAGAAGTTCTTTCTCTGTGAAGAACCAAAAGTTTAAGACATCTCATTATTGTTTATCTCTTGCTTGACTACAGGAAGCATCTGTATTGCTTTAGTTGCATTGGTGAGAAGGGAAAGCAGTAGGGTAGGAACAGCTCTCAAAGCTGATTAGTTGAAGTAATAAAATCGAATTCTATATCTTTAAAACACAAAATATTCCTCTGCTTCTATGTCCAGAATGGATCTGCCTCTGAAATTGCATTACGCTCCCATTTTTTTAAAATCTGCTTTTCCGTATTTAACTTTTTCTCATTTGAATGATTTTTTTTTTTCACTATTAGACTGTTAACAACTTGATTTTTTTATTTGCTCTGTAATAGTGTTGTCTTGTAGGGATGCTGTTACAGAATAGGTCTCATGCAGGTATTCAAAGCAAAATTCTCTTATAGTGAAAATTGGCAAATTAATTAAAACTATTGTTGAAGAAATTTGAGTGATTCTAGAGTCCTAAACTGGATACACACTAGCACCTTATTTTCAGCAGTGCAACAGAAACAGGAGAATGAGTCTAAAATGCAAAAGAATAGTTTTCATGTCACCAGTTTTACTGTGTGTTTTCAAAATAAATACTTACAATAATTTAGTGAAGCACCCCGAATCTGTCTTCTCTTTTTGTAAGTGGGAAGATATTTTTGCTTCCACTTACTCTGGTCAGCATGCACAATTGAAGTGAATTATGCTTACATGACCAAGTTTCTAACCACTACATACCACCTTCTTGATGTTCTTGAAATACTGGCTTATTCAGTAGCCATTCTTGAGTTTTGGCCCAAGTACTATTCTCAGTTTACAAAATAAATATTTAAACCATGAGCAGGTTCATTAACTTGGCCACAGACCTGTGGCAATTTTCTATCAAAGCAAAGACAAAAATTCAATTGTAAACTTGGCAGGCATGTATTCAGGAGGGCTAGACACTTCTGAATGCACACATGCGCATTCCTTTCTTCCTCTTTAAGCTAGAAAGGGAAACATGGATGAACACAAAATGAAAGGCAATTTTTCTTTTTAACCTCTGCAAATCTATTGTCCACTTTTTCAGAGAAAATTCAGCTTTTCCATAACACTGAGCAAGGTTCGGTCTTCCCATTTCTGTATAAATGTCTGATGAATGTAGCCTCAGTAGTGCACTGATAAATGGGTGCTGGAGAGAATTTTTCTTGAGACAGTATTGCTGAGAAAAGCTGTTTGCCTTCAAATCCTAAAACTTCTTTGGCCTATTCC